GATAAAGACTCGGATCGATAAGGAGTATCGATAAAGGTATCGATATCAATAAATATTAACGATCCCCATCCCTAAACAAAACAGAGGACAACATCCAAGGCTCTGAAGGCTATCGCTTGCCTATGCTAACCTCAGTATCCAATAGTTAACAAAAACTACCTCAACAGGAAAGCTCTAAAGGCAAATCACTGCTCACCACATATATCTTGATTGTTCCAAAAATCATTTTAGGAAACAGTCTGACTGACTAATTAAAAGTGGAACATGGTGGAAACTATCTGGTTACATTTGGTGTAAAGTAAAAAAACATTTAATTTACAGAGGATCATGCTGACATTGAACACATGGAGGTGGGAGAGTGATGGTCTGGGAAGGGAGGGCTCTGCTTTTCAGGAGGCTGAACAAAATGAGCAGAAATCAGGGTTGGCCAGCTATCCTCCAGGATGCTGTCAGACCATCAGCTCAATACCTTAAGTTCAAAAATGTTTGGGTCATAGAGATGAACAATGGTTCAAAGCAAGTCTGTGTCTGAATAGCTAAAATAACAAAATAACAGCTTAGGACTGCTGGAAATCCTAATATCAAGCAAAGACGAAAGGCTCCTACTTTATCCACATACATAAAAAAGATGTTGAAAACCATTAAGATTAATGGTGCTAAAACTTTCTCTCTTATGGGTTTTGACATATTTTTAAATAATCTGCACAGTGTCAGTCTGGGGGGCGGGTCTCTGGCTCTTCACAACCGCTATTGAGCATCTTTCCTTTGGATAAACTTTACATGCACAAGTGCACTCTTACAAACAACTACAGGTGCTTGGTTCCAGGTACTTAGAGATTCACTTCCATACAGAAAACCCATATTCTTATCTTCAGCTACCACAGTATACATGTCAGATTAAATAATACTACTTATACTTCAGGGATAATATCAAGGTGTTAATTTAGTGTATCTCTTATATCCGTTGGTTTTGCTGTTCTTTTTACATCTCTTTGCAGGTGATGAAGCAGACTGAAAGTTTATAATTATCTCCCTTTTATCTCCTCTTTCTTTTATCTTTTCTCCTTTTTCCTTCCCTGTTCTAGTTTCCCATTGCAGTGTCCATAAAATCTGTAATACTCCGTGCATGAATTATAATAAAGCTATTTACATGCATAAGTCAAGCGGAACACTATGGCAATAGTCGCACTGCTCCACTTTGAAAGCAAAATCTGTTGGGCTCTTTTTGGCATCAAGATAATTATTCTCATTGCCACATTGCCAGAAAGGACACTGTTCAAAAAAAATAAAATAAATAAATCTGTCATTTGACATAAAAGAACTGATCTAAAATGTCTCTTTGATGTCTCTAGGGAGGCAAATACTTTCTCAGGGCCTGATGATTAAAATGAGACACAAGAGGGACGAGTTTTATAAAGTTATTAGCCGCATATTTGTTCTTGTTTACAGCAACCTGTTGCCATTTGTGGCTGATCGTGAGAACCTCCAACCCTCTGAGTCCCAGCTGTAGGGGAGGGGTGGAGACGAGCGATGGGCACTTCTGCTAAATGATTCCCCTGTGGTCTTACAAGACGATGCGTCCTTCTTGGCAGAGGAAACACTTTTACACTTGTTGTGCAACACAGTGATTGCTCACAGATTTTTGAGGTGGAATAAAAAACCCTGAACATTAAAAATAACTCTGTTGATTTCTGGGATCTCTTGTCTAGCAGATGGCTTTTTTTTCTGGTAATCTCTTACAAAAATACTGTTTGGTTTTTTAAACAGAAATTATAGAAGGAAATTCCTATCAATAAAGAGGGTTAAAATCTCTTATTACTCAATCTTGTTACTCAATCATGACTTACACTTATGTGAAAAGGAAAATCTTTGAATGCATCTTTGGTGAAATATGGAGTCACAGCTTGGGATGGAAAAAGTAAAAACCCAAACAGGCATGTGTGATTACTCAGGTCCTTTATGTAAAACTAATTATATCAAAGTTTAGGTTGTTGAGCTACTAATGGCAGAGATGCTCACTCAGCTACCATGGTTACAGGGTTACCTACTCAGTGAACCCATCTTAATTAGTGGCAGAGGTTTCTTCAACAAGCTCTTGTGATTTTTATGGCCCTACTGGTTTTATTTTTTTAAAAATATCTTCCTATCATTGAGGCAGAGGGGTTTCATCTCTCTGCATTCTGGTCATTAAGAGTTTATACATCATGCTGGACAATTTTCTCCCAAATATCCATCAGTCTTTGATGTTGTTTTGGTTTGTCTTTGACCATGAAAACTAGTTCATAGGCTGATCAGCTTTTCACTGAAATAACAAATATTGTTTCTGCACTGAAATTAGCTCTTGCATTTTTGGATAGATATAAGTTGTAAAGTGTAGGAAAGAATCAATTTGGTGATAAATCGTGATTTCTATCGGTAGTTAAGGCAGTCACAGTGGAAGACGTTGACTCCCTCAAACCCTAATCACCATGGATACCAAAATAACTACATGATAAATATCTTCTGATGAACATATGCAGCACTTGCTCTTTCATCTATACATTTAATTTTGATAAGCTGGGAAAAATATCGCAATATATAGTGATATTGCAATATCGTGATAATATTGTATCGTGACACCCATGCCAATACTCACCCCTAGTTAGAGTGTAATCTTGTGTAATTTAAAGCGGCCAATTCACGCACTATGACTTAAGGACTTTCCACGGTACGCCACTAGCTCCCTCTGGTCCCATACAAATGCTTTCAAATCAATTACTTCTGCTCTGTTGGCTTAATAAATATTATTAGGTCTTAAATATTGTTTTTAATCCAATCATTGGTAAACTTGCACATTTTCAGTATTTGCCATAACAAGATCTCATGATAAAATTCTATATATTGTGCATGTACACTACAAGTAAATAAGGAGTTGAGCTAAGAAAAAGATGCACGTTGGAGATTATTGAAGGCCAGAAAATGGCCAGAAAATGGTGAATGTGTCCAACAATATTTAGATCACTACTGAAGTCTGGTGCAAAAATTCTTTTTAGGCTCAAATAAGACTAAGTAAATACTATCCGGAAAAATACTTGAAGCTAAAATGCTGTATATGTAGATCAGGGGTAGGCTACATTGGTCTGAATGTGCCAATGTCCTGTACCTTATACATTAATCCCTTTAAGTAAGTAAGAAAGTAATGTTAATTTATATAGCACCGCTTACAGACATAGAGATCACAAAGTGCTTCACAAAATTATAATACAAATAATAAAAATACATTTACAGTCCCAAATAACATGGTCATTAAAACAACCCTTAATCTACTAGAATTAAAATGCTTTCTTAAACAAACAGTTGAATCTTAAAAACATAGACAGAATCAAGTAAGTGCACAGAAAGCAGGAGATTGTTCCAGAGCACCAGCGCGACCGCCTGAAAGGAGCGATCTCCCCTGGTCCTGTAACGAGTACGAGGGACCATGAGCAGGTTCTGGTCCTGAGACCTCAGCCTCCGAGAGGGGGTATACGGACACAACAAGTCTCAAATGTAGGAGTAGGCCTGAATGTGGAAGGCTCTGAATGTCAGCACCGGGATTTTAAACTGGAACTGAAAAGAGACTGAGAGCCAATGAAGAGATTTTAGAATCGGCACAATATGAGCACTTCTGTTTGTACGAGTCAGTAACCTCGCTGAAGAGTTCTGAACCTGCTGAAGACGAGACAACTCCTATTTGTTTAGACATGAGAATAGACTGTTAGAGTAGTCTAAACAGTAGTCAGCAGTTTTGAGTGGTGCTCTAAGGACAATGTTTTGTCAAAAATAACGCCTAGGTTTCTAAGGCTTGGTTTAGCAGTCAAACTCAAGTCGCCCATATACTGGTGAATCTCTGCTCCAACATGCCTGAAACTAAAGTCCAAATGACCTCCTTGGCATGTCGATAGGTTTAGCAGAGGGCTGGCTATTTACCATTTATCTGTTTCAGGTGTGTCGTAAAAAGGGTGCATGGAAAAGCTGCAGGACAGTGGTACTCGAGGACCAACATTACCTACCTCTGGTGTAGATATATGGTTTTCCTTTAAACACTGGTGTCACCGAAGAGAAGTCTGTCTTGAGAAAAACCTTGGAGTAGCTGTCATAAATGCCCTTATTCCAATTGATAAGATACATTCATGTCAGGCAGGACCGTCTTTACCTTTTTGTCTTAATTCTTTGTGGTACCGTGGACTAAACAAGGGTCGGAAATATGCTTAGGCTTTCGTCCACAATGACATGATCGCCTCACTGTGCCAGATTTAGGCCACAGCAGCAAAGAGTTATCGATTTATGGTTGAAGGAGTCATCAACGAAGTACAGATGAAGTACTTGTACTTTACATCAGACTTGAATATGACTAATCTTGACATCAATTTTGCTCATTAAATTACAGAAGAAGCCTTCATTATTTTAAATGGTATTCATGGGGATCATTTGAGGTTTAAATTTAAGAAAATTAACAGACGAAATATCATTGATTTGTTCAAATAGCAAGAATACAGTGACTGAATAAATGAATTTAGTTTTAGTATTCATCAATACTGGCTGTGTCAGATCATTCCTCACTTAAAGGCTAAAAGAAACAGACTGATCAAGTCTTTTGCTGAAGCAATATTGTTAAAATCGAGTTCCATTTCACAAGCTCTTGGTATCATTGTACCCTAATGTAGAACAAGAATACACAGACATGAAGAGGCAAACAGAGGATGGTGTTAAACAGTGCTTTAAAGAAAAGGTTGAGGCAGTTCCCTCAAACTCTAATCTGTAAATAGATTAAAGACTAAACATAATGAGAGATTAGAACACAGAATTGGCCTTTAACAGAAAGCCAGAATGTCTGCTTTAATAATCTGGTAGATGCAGTCTCCACACCAGAGGAAACAAAACACTTCCAGCAAAGGGTTACATGAGGACACGATGAAGGAAAGAACAGAACATGAGGGGCTAAGGTGACTGAGGAAGAAACAATAAAGGAAGTTGCTTACGATGTAGCAAGGCTCACAGTACGCCTTCTTCTCCACAGCATAGAAAGGTTTGCCGCGCAGGTGGGTGCTGCAGGTCATGCAGACGAAGCAGTCGACGTGGAAAACCTGGTCCATGGCCGTGCAGCCGGTGCCCTCACCCACCACATTCTCTCCACAGCTGGCACAGCGTCCTGGGTAGAAGAAGGAGAGACGAGGCTGAGAAAAGATCAACTAAAAGGGAGAAAATCAATTCCTCTTTCACTGATGTCATTGTATACCTTTTTAATGTGCATATTTCTCTCTTCCCTGATGCTGATAGAACAAAAACTTGATGTGATACTCTGCAATAATGCCATAAGATCAAAAAGGATGGAGAAGGAGAGAGGAGTAAAAGGGTCTAAGGAGATTGCTGCTATTTCAATATGTGGTAGTTGATCAAAAGTACCAAAAAGATAGGAAAGGTAAATGTTTTTTGCTGCTTTAGGATAGAAACAGACACATTTGGTTTGATCTAATGATTAAAAACCGTGACATTGACGAATTTAACAAAAAAAATAGAAGATTTCACAACTACAACCAATCTGATACCTTTGTCTAGATCAGGGATCTGCAACCTGCGGCTCCTGAGCCACATGTAGCTCTAAATAATATAAGGAACTATCTAATACACTATAATAAAAAAATATCAGTCTTAGTAGTGTTAGTGGTTTTTATTAAGAATATTTTAATTGAGCTTTTACAATAGAATTACATTAGAAGTGCCAGATAATAAAGGCTATTAGAGCTATTTATCTTTTAATTAACTTGGAAATGCTGTACTTTTCAAAAATTATATATCCTACAAAAGACAAAAGCTTCATCTTCATCATGAATCACTTTATGTTTTTCCTTATCTTACAAGCTAAAAATACAAATAAACTGCAGATCATTTAACTGATTTCTTATGGTGAATATTTGAAAAAAATAATAGGTTGTCTTTATTAAAACGTTATGCTATATTTGCAGCTCTAAATTACTTTTACTTAGCCAGACAATGCAAAATGTCTCTTTGGGGCTTGCAGACCCCCCCCCCGAACCTAAACAGATTAATGGAAGCAATGTCCGATTGGTAACATCTAAAACCAAACCTGAGAGATATGAATCGTCAATCTGGTTTACCAGGTAAAGTTTATGTCACTCCTTTCCAGATTATGTGGCATGTGGTCTTCGGTGCCTTCTGTGGAAGTAGGTTTCGTCCCAAAGGGGTGTCAGTTCGTGTCTACCTCACAGACATGCAGTACCTAAGTAATGAAATAGGCTAAAACCTATTGGCACCTCAAGTATCAACCGGTGGGCCTGTGATGGTTAATAAGTCATGTGCTTTGTTACCTGCCCAGATCTTACATTCAGATTATTTAGTCCAGTATTTGAATTCCAAACATATTAATTTAAATGTAAAATGTTCAATTATGGGCTGCTCAATGGTGCAGTGGGTGGCACTGCTGCCTTGCAGCAAGAAAGTTCTGGGTCGATTCCCGGCCTGGGGTCTACATGTATGGAGTTTGCATGTTCTCCCTGAGCATGTGTGGGTTCTCTGCGGGTACTCTCCTCCCACAGTCCAAAAACATGACTGTTAGGTTATTTGGCTTCTCTAAATTCTCCTTAGGTGTGAGTGTGTTCGTGAATGGTTGTTTGTCCTGTTTGTCTCTGTGTTGCCCTGCGATGGACTGGCGACCTGTCCAGGGTGCATCCCGCCTCTTGCCCGTAGACAGCTGGACATAGGCACCAGCACACCTCGTGACCCCAATTGAGATAAGCGTGATGGAAAATGGATGGGTGTTAAATTATTCTTTTATTAACATATA